CATTTGTCCTCATTAAATACTTTTGTTAGACAAGTATTGATATTTCTGTACTTGATTGGAACATACATCATGAGTTCTGTAACTATCCCTTTGAGGATATTTTACTCTTGTGAGGATTAGGATTTTATAAGATTCATTCTTGCATTTGTAGCACTTAGCATAATGTCTGCACACATCAGGTTTTTTTATATTTTTTTGAATGAGAGGCTGAGGCTCCTGAGCTGACTCGAGCACTTTTACTCAACGTTATGGAGAGAAACGTTTACCTGTATATAAAGGTTTGGAAGTCATTAATAAAAAGGGGACTATTTAAATATTAAGAGTGGGGTTCTTGAAGTTTGGGTCAGTTATAGAGTGCTAGCATAGCATGTGTGAGGCCCTTGGTTGGATCCCCAGCACCGCAACCCACCCCCCCAAATACAGCAATACTTAGTATGAGAAGATAGGGTTTTAGGCCATCTCATTAGCCTTTGTATCCTGTAATATCATCCCTGAAGTCTTGATGAAAGGACTGAAGATAAAAGATGGTTGTCATGTCTCAGTTTCAGAGGTAGGTTGAATGGTTACATATGCGTTTTAAAAATTTAGTACACATTTTCAGTATTTAATTCATTGTGCAGAGTTAGTACCTGTATATAACACATCCTAACTTTTCATCACCTTCCCATTTGCAAAAGGCCTGTCTCCCTTTTTCCCTTTATCTTTTATTTTTATCTTTTTTATAATGCGGGTTTAACATACAAGAGAATTGTGATATTTAAACTTGTATGTCTGATTTATTTGACTTCACATTATGGCCACAAAATCCATCCACTTTCCTACAGATGACTCAAATGTATCCTGTGTGGCAGAGTTGTACTTTATTGGGTATAAATATCTTTTCTTCATCGGTTGATTTAGCTATTATGAGTGGTCATGCTATAAACATTGGTATGCATTTATCACTGAATATGTTTTTAACTCTTTTGGGAAGACACCTAGGAGGTGAGAAGGGGAATAGCTGGATTGAACCTAGTTTCCACTTTTTGTTTTTTGAGGAATCACTATTACTGATTTCCATAGAGTTACTATAGTTTATATTCCCACCAACAATGTACAAGGTTTTCTTTTCCCCAGCAGGCTTGCCAGCATTTTTATTACTTGATTTCTTGATGATAGATTTTTTTTCTGGAGTAAGATATTCTTCGGCTTTCATATTTTTATTTGTGTCAGTGATGGTAAAGATAAAATTTTAATTCAGTTTTATACCATATATAATTAACCTCCAAATGTAATTTTTTTTTTTTTTTTTTTTTTTTTTTTTGTACCAAGGGTTGAACTCAGGACCTTGCGTTTGCAAGGCAGGCACGGTGCCACTGAACTGAATCCCTGACTACAAAAGTAAATTTCTAACAAAAATTTTTATATGGTTTGTAGTTGGCTTTTAAGCATTTTTCTCAGAAGGTACATGCATGGCATCTATCATTAAAGGCAGTATACTTTTGTTGTATTGAAGAGTGCTAGTTTTTGGTTTTTGAAGGAGAGTATCCAGTGAATTGACTGACTACTATCGATGCTATAGCAGGAAGCTGTTCTTAGAGATTCATCTACCTATCTTTTCATGGAAAGTACTGTAACACTAACACTTGTTTTTTTGTTTTCTGCAACTTACAAATACTAGGCTTTGCAGAACAATAAGGTGATGGTAATATTGCTTCATATTATTCACTAAATTAGCATTTTAAATGTTTTTATACATTTGCACATGTAATTTTTTCTCATTATTTGAATTATGAAATTATGTAGTTTTGGCTTATGTGGGAAAATAAATGTTGGGACTAAATTTTCATCAAAATAACATTGATGGAAATACATTACTTTGGCTTGAATGCAAAAGATTTGATCTTTCATACTGGTAGTCATTAACTTAATATATTTTAAAAATGTTTATCCTTAAATCTTTCTCTTTTGAGTTACTAAAAAGAATTAGGAAAAGAAATACGAAATGTATCCCATATATGTATTTAACATCACTTTACGTGTATGGAGTAAATTATTCAGTTGATAAAATAAGAGTCAAATTTCACCCCCCCCATACCACAGGTACTCCCTTCAGCACTTATCAGACTTTTCTGATACTAAGAACACGTATGTAATGGAGGCCTGGTGTGGTGGCCCATGCCTGTAACCCCAGCACTCAGGAGGTTGAGGCAGGTGGGTCACTGTGAGTTTGAGGCCAGCTTAGGCTACATAATTCAAGGCCAGCCTGAAATACATAGTAAGACCCTGTTTCAAAAAAAAAAAAATTAATGGAACTAGCTGATATAAATGTCCAACTTAAAGTAGCAGAGTCACAGTCAACTTTGTATCCTAGGACTATAAAGTCAAATCCTAGCACTAGACAACATATAACTAATGATACAAAATTGGATAACCAGATTACAATGAAAATAGTATATATTTAGACTGGAGAATATCTTTTAGGATATTCAAAATAGAAACCATTTAGAGTTAGAAATAATGACATTAAGAATATGTGAGTATATTCTATACTTACAAGGAATTATCAAATTTCATATTGCTAAGGCTTTATTGGAAGAGAAGTGAGGTTTGCTAAAGAATTTATAAGGATAGGTAGATTGAGACCCTTAATTTGGGAGAATTGTATTCAAAAAGTAATCAGATTTTTAAAACTAGTTTACCAAGAGTTACTATAAATGTAGTATTAACAGTCATTGTCATAGTTAAAATTCTTCATATTTGGAAAACATGATAGTGCTGCTTTATGCTATACCAAAAGAAAATTTCATTAAAGGGAGACATTTAGAATAACAAGTATGAAAAAAAGTAACAAACTTGATAATTACTATTTTTGTACATGCTACTGACTAGGTGAATGACAGTCAAATCATATTTTAATGGGCCTTATTAAAAACTGAATGATCGATTTATTTTTGTTTGCTTGAAACAGGGTCTTTCTCGCTGTGTGGTTCAGGCTAGCCTCAAGCTCACTATGTAGCCCAGGCTGGCCTTGAACTTGTGGCAATCCTCCCGCCTCAGCCTCCCAAGTGTTGGGATTACGAGTGTGCACCACTATGTCTGACTGAACAATCTATTTATACGTTTGTTGGTCAAAGCTATAACTGGATGTTGTGGGGAAAATGATAATTAAAATACATCCATAAATCATCCCAAATATATTTTTTCACATTTGTAAATGCTGAATAAGTTTGACTATGCTGGTTTTCCAATCTTTTTCTTATCTAGCACATATTTAAATTGAAATACTGGACCAGAATTAATAAACAGTTGTATGTAACCTGAATTGTATCAGTAAGTGAAGATAATGTCCTGGGTAATTTTCATAATTTTTGGATTGTGGTCATTGTTGAAATGACTTGCTCTCATTGGTGTAAGATTTTTAGTCTAGAATGAGACTAACAGCATGACTCAGGATTGTTAGAGGATTTTAATATTAAAATTAATATATTGTTTATTTGCTAAAGAAATGCTTATCATTGGAAAAAATGTAAAACATTCTTTTTAGAACCACTAAAAATCCCATGTGAACCACATTTTTATAAAAATAGAGTTGGAAAGTGCTTCTAAATGTGTTTATATGGATATTATATAATTGGTAAGTAGAGAAAACATTTCAAACTTGATAGTTCTTTAATTCCACTCGTTTGTCATGCTTAGATCCTATCAACTGCAATTATTTAATATTATGTGACTAGATCATACTGAGTGAAAACTAAGCTCTTTATTACCAAATAGAGGACCCAAAATACAAGCCTAATTTAGATAATGCCAAAAGCATTCTTGTAACAAAGGCATGAGGGCGAAACACTTTTCTTTGTTCTCTACTGCTTGTTGCTTGAATGATCTTGGGCAGATCATATAACTTCAGGACCATAGTGTGTTCATGATAGAGTATTATCTTCAGCATTCAATCAAATGAAAAGAATAATAAGGAAACAAGATCATTTGCAATAGGAATCATCTCATAAAATTTAGTAATATCACTGTAATTATTAATTATTATGTAAAGATTGTTGGTTTTATAATATCCCTTGATACTTTTCTGAAATTAGTTCATTGTAACTTTAATAAATTTAATTATATGAGAATTTATTAAATAAAGTGACTTAATTTTTTATAGTTGTGTGAAATTCTAATCAATGCATTCATTAAATCATAGAATTTCTGATACAGTCTAGGAAAGAAATTTATAATCAGAAGTGATGTAGTATGTCAGAGTATGTAGTATGTAGTATGTAGTATGTAGGAAAGAATTTACTGTATTACTATGTTTCGTCCTGTTTTAAAATGGTTCTAAAACATTTCTTCTTACAGCATTCAGTGCCTCTTTCACACTATATTTATTTGGTATGTGTTTTCTGTTTATTTTTTTATGGGGGAGCTTTGCCCTTGAAGGTTTTTGGTTTCTTTGATAAAATTGATTTTACATTTTAATAGAATGAAAATAATAAATGTATTGTTGGTCAACTCTTAAAGAATACTGACTTTTTAAATCACCTTTTAGTGTAAGAACTTAACATTTTCATCTTTTTTAATATATCTTCTCCAAATATTCCTTAACCATAGAGAGCGGATTAACTTCTTAATGTCTGATTGGGGATATTCTTTTTTTTTTTCAGCTTTGAGTTTATTGGTACATTTTAGGGATACAGTACAGTTACATTCATTGTTGGGATCTTGTACCTCTACATGACAAGTCTTGGTTCTCATTTTTTCCCCTTGTCCCTGCCCTCCCTTCACCCCCTCCTGCCCTTCCCAGGGGATAGTCTTTTCATAATTTGACAAAATGGAAGCTGAGGTACTTAACAAGGAATAAAGAAGGGTGGTAGCATAATTGTACTGAAACTAATTAATCAGACTTTGAGTCCTCTAAGCTGGCTGCTGGATAACATACTTCAAATAGGCCTTACACACTGTAGCAATTAAAGTGTGCAATTTCAAGAATTGTTTAAAATTGTTTACCCTATTTTTTGTTGCAGATGCTCCTCTTAAGCAGACATCTTCCATAGCTGTAGCTGGAGCTGTGATCGGAGCTGTCCTTGCCCTTTTCATCATTGCTGTTTTTGTGATTGTGCTGCTGACACCTCAGAAAAAGAGGCCATCCTACTTGGACAAAGTGTGGGTAACATTTTTGCTTGTGTCCAACTATCAGTAAGCATTGTGAGCCATCTTTACAAACCTTTACAGCTTTTCTCTTTAAAGTGTCCAAGGGATAGAAGTAAGGATAATATTAGACCTTTGTTAGAATCATAATATCTTAAACTGCACCTTAATAAATGAACTACATCAAGTGGCTGCTGAAAATAGACAACTTTACTACTCAGAGTAGACTATCTTTCCAAAAGGTACCATAGAGACATTTTCATTGCCCTGACCTCTGAATAGGAATACAGGCCTTTGCTGAAAAACTATGTGCAAGACATAAAAGTATCTTAGTACTTTACAGTTGTATTTTCAGATTATGTATGTTTATCTTTCATATATAGAGCATTTAGCCATCAAGAGTTATTAAACATAACAACTTCTAAAGTTTTAAGGAGAATGTTTGCTTTTCGTTTTAGTAAATTATAAAATGAATATCTTATTTTAAAATAAACCAATGTTTTGACCTAATCATTGATAGATTTGTAAGATAGAAATTACACTCAGTTCTCTTAATTCCATCAAAGCCTTGTTCCTTGTATGTGAAATTAAAAATACTTTCCTTATTTACTTCACATATTTTTGATGAGAATAGGATAACATGGTGTCTTAAAAAGTGAAGTTTTGTACAAATAGCATTATTTGTGCTATAGTTCATTAGTGTTTTCCTTTACATCAACTGCTGTGGAAATCAGTGTAGAGATTTAAATAAAATAAAAAAATAAGAAGTCCATTTGACTAACTGTATCCCTCCTGGGTATCTTCCTAAAAGAGATAATGACATCTTGTTACGGTGTTATATACATAGTCGTGTTTATAGCACTACAACTCACAATAGTTTATGCAAACACCATAGATGTTCATCAGCAGATATATGAAGCAAATGTGGAGTATAAACACAGTGGAGTGTTACTCAGTCATAAAGAAGGATAAATTTGTCATTTGTAGGAAAGTGGATGGATATCAAGACCAGATTGTTCAGTGAAACAAGTCAGACACAAAAGGTTAAATATTTTGTAGTTTCTCTTATATGAGAAACTCAAGATATAAATAAAGAAGAGATGATAGGAAACTGGAAGTAGACATTGGGCATTGGAGTCTAGGGACAAAGGGAAAGGTGATAAAAATGATCAAGATACAGAGATATGAATATGTGCATATTTGAATGTATAGTCAATTAATTTTCCAGAATAAATATAATTATTATGTTTTGCAAATACATACCAATGAAAAAGAAAAAGTAGGTAAAATATTTTAAAAAGATAAAAAGTCTGCCATTCAAAGCGTGCTTTGTATGTGTCTGTGCTTCTCTAATCCAACTGTCCTTGGCCTTGGTCTTCTTGGAGACATAGAGCAAGTTTAAGTTCTGTCCTGATCAAATTAGTGGTGTGACTAGGAACAAGTTATGTTGCTTTTTTGAGCCCCAGATTTCTCATGTAAATGACCATTGACACCTTTGCTATGATTTTCATTAAATGAAAAAAAATTACATTATATAAAGTGTAGTAGATGTTTGTTCAATGCGATACCAGTAAAACTTATGTTCTTTAGTATTTTGAGAGTGATTGCTATAGGTTACTTAGTTTGGGAACTAATCTTGTCCCCAGATTATCTTATGTTTCTCTATAACTTCAAAAACATGATTTACTAGTAGACATATAACTATTATATTTCTTTTTTAACTTTTATTAATTTTATTGGTGCATTTATTTTATACAATATAATGACATTCGTTGTTGGAAATTTGTACCTTTACATAATCAGTCTTAGTTCTTATTTTTCCCCATTCCCCTGCCCTCCCTTCATCTCCTCCCTCCTTCTCAATCTACAAAGACTTTGTTTCCATTATTTTTAATTTTCTCATATTGATTCCATTCCCTTCTTTCCTTTCCACTACTCCTATTTCCCTTTCCTCTTCTGAATTTTGTTCATTGAAGATATTAATATCATATGAAAAATTATTAGACTATAGTGAACTTATTACTTTCGTGTAGATAGCTCTTATTTCCTTTATTCTTTAATATAAACTTTTATTTACTAATCCCAGGGAAAGAAAATATCTAAGATCTTCAAAAGTATGAGACTGTGCATAAAAATTATTTTCTAAAACTCAGTGACCTATATAATTGAATCTATTTTTGTTGTAACTAAGCAATATTTACAATGTATTCAAATATTGGAGCTTTTTATATATCATCATTTTGGCAAAAATAAATGCATCCTCTTATTATATAATGGTCTCTGTTTCAGGTGTGGCAGGATTTATAATAGCCTATATATTGAGAAAGTCTTACTTTGTGATTCATATTAAAAGAGTGAGGAGGGCTTTTGAAAATTGATCTTGAAAGTTTTTCCCAAAAACTATATAAAATACTGCATGTTTGTAGTATATAACCAGTTTATTTAAATATTACATGTTTTTACATTTGGCTGTGCCTACAAACATTTTAAGGATAGTCATATGTATATATCATTATTCTTTCCTTCAGAGTGTCACAAAAGTGATTTTAGAGGCTGTATCTTAAGAATGCAGCTTAAGATTTTTAAGTACTTATATTTAAATTGGTGCTTGAACTAAATATGAACCAATTAGATTAGTTTTAAGCTTTGAAACTACTACTTATTGTTATTTTCTGTGTTTGGTAGATGAAAGGAAATTGAGCAAAATACATCTAGGTACAATGGTAATTATTAGTTTTTTATTCATTAAGTTTATTGGTACATTTTAGGTATACAGTATGGTGACATTCATCATTGGGTATTTGTACCTTTACATGATATATATTGGTTCTTATTTTTCCCCCTTCCCCTGTCCTCCCTCCAACCCCTCCAACCCTCCCTATTTACAAAGACTGTGTTTCCATTTCTCTATTTAACCCTTTCCCTTCTTTCCTTTCCCCTACCTCTCCCACTCTTCCTTCCCCATTGCACCTTTTATTCCTATTTCACATTGTCTATTATACATTTTGATCCTTATTTACACTTTCAGTTCCTCACACTGGAGAAACTATTCAGTATTTAAACAGTGGTAATTATTTTTTTAAAAATCACCAAAATTTGAACCTTGATTTTTTGGGGGGGCTCATTTTTTTTTTTGCTAAATATGGCTAAATACATTTTTTTTAATCACAGGATCGACCTTCCTCCCACACATAAACCACCTCCTGTATATGAAGAATGCTCCTCACCTTTGCCTCAAAAAGACCTTCTTTATCAGGTAGGTGTTGATGTATACAATGAAAATAACCTAAAATATAAACAAAATTCTTCTAGTAAGAAATTATAATAAATTAAAATATAATTTCTATAATCTTTTCAAAATGTTAGCTAGGCATTTATAAATTAAATACTGAATGATAGTACATAAAATTTAACATTCATGGATTTTTCTGAAATCTTGGGTAAAAAATTTTGTCTACGAATTAGTAAGAGAAGTTACAGCTTGTATAGATGGCTAAGATCTACAGTATGTTAGGTCTTTTAATGAAAGTTTATAGTTGACTTTTTATTAATAAGCTTTATTGATATATAGATTCCTTATAAAATATGATTTTATATAATAAGAGTAGAAAAAAATGAATGTTTTCTAGAGTTATAGTGAAGATCTGCATCCCATTAGAGTACTCTGTTTTACTTTTGTTCCTTTTCAATATACCAAAGGTATATTTTACAACTCCTGTATTTATCAAAAAATAGTTTATATTCTAATTTAAAATTCTGAGTATTATTAACTCTTATACAAAATTTGTAATAACTTTTAATATTTATTTGAAATCAGTTTATTGTAATTTATGTAAAGTAGCACTTTTAATCTTACATTCTATAACTGCATTTGTTACCTTTAATGTCAGAAAGTTTAAATATTTGAATTCTTTCATTCTCAGTTTTACACTTTTTGTTATTTTTATTTTTTTCTATCACCCACACTGTGTATTAGGAGAATAGTCTGTATTTCCCTCCTAAAATATATCCTATATTTTCCACCTTAATAAGCCAAATCCTTTGGTCATCAGTTAATTCATTAAATTTGACGGGAAACTCTAAAGGAATATGTCTGTCAAGATAGTCTCAGTTTCTGTTCCTTTGCTGATCATACAGTTAGTCTGCTACCCAAGAGTGGAATAGGAAGGAACCTTCACTGGTATGCAATGGGCAGCAGTTTTGTCTTCTTACAGTTAGGAGTCTTGAGGATAAGGACGTGCCATCTTTTCAGACTTCTTGTTCTCACAGCGTAACTTCATATCTCAGCAAATGAATGAGATAAATAGTATGAAATATCAATAAAATACTTAAGAGTTGTTAAGTGCTGTAGGAAGATACTGTCTTTCTGAATATAGCAAGTCAGTAACCTTAGGATTTCTAGACTCAATTTGAGGAATTTTGAAAAGAATATTGGTAGTTATATTTTAGGAAAACCCCAATTTTATGGAAAGTCTTTGTAAATAGGGGTGGAAGGATTGAAGAAAGGGGCGGGGAATGAGGATAAATAGCTAAGATATATTATGTAAAATTACAAATTCCCAATGATGAATGTCAGCATATTGTATACCTAAATTGTACCAATAAAATTAATAAATGAAAACAAAAGATTATCAGTAAAACTAGCTAATAATAATATGTGTTAGGGCTGGGGATTTAGCTCAGCGGTTTGGTGGCCTGCCTTGCAAGTGCAAGGACCCGAGTTCAATCCCTGGTACCAAAAAAAAAAACAAAACAAAACAAAAAAAAATGTGTTAGTTTTTCCCCTGTGACAAAATTACTGAGAAAATCATTGCCTCACAGTTTCAGGGGTTTCCATCAATGGTCATTTGACTCCATCACCTGTGATGAGGCAGAACATCATGGTGGGCATTGTGTGATGGTAAAAAGCAGCTCGTATCATGACAGATAGGAGGCAAAGAAAACAATAAAAGGTCAGAAAAAAAGAGAGTAGGGGTAAGGCATACCCTTCAAAGGCACAAACTTGGCAACTCAGTGTACCTGCCTTCTTAGAGCTGGTTAGCTATGAATATACCTGTGGGTTAGCACCCTCACAGTCCAATCAACTCTCTAGACTAAACCTCTGAACTCTGCTGCATTGGGGATCCGTACATGGGGACTGATCTCAGTACATGAGTCTTTGATGAGCACTTCATATTTAAACTTTAACAACTTATGTTTTTTCAAATAGAATGTTTATAAAAGGTGCTGTTTGAAAAATACTTTTTATTAAGTACATATCGTGTGTCCTGCATTTTAATTAAGATACTATGACTGATCTACATCTATTGCTTACATAAATACAAAGGGAAGATTTTTCTTAGTTATCTCCAGTTGACCTTGATACAAACTGCAACTTTTAGAACACTGGAAGGCAGGAGACTTCCTGGATGGATCAACTTTGGAGAGGGTTTGAGGCAGGTGACAAATTACTCAGAGGTTTATTAGAATAATTTGACTAGTAGTAACTTGTATAATAAAATACAAAAACCTGGGAACAAATGAAGAGTCATGTTGCAAAGTACTGAAAAGTTTTTATCTGAAAAAAGTTGACAGGAGAGTGCCCGCAATGGACAGTAAACTTTGGACTCAGAGAGAGACCATTCTATAATATTGTGACTGTTTCCTCAGTTAAAACCAGGCAGTTGAAAATTTGAACATTATTTTCATTTTCTAAATAAAAAATTTATTTTGTAAAATATTTCTTAGGAGAGTCAGAATTTGGTCATGAAGAAATAAATAATTCTTATTCTTTATTCAGATAATTTATCATGACTCATACATTAGAATGTCATATGTTGGTTTTATGGATGTTTACTCTCTATTTAGGCTTATAGTATCAAATTGAAAAATTCATAGTGGCTATATCTTGGTTACCAAGAAATCTAGACATATAATTACTAATTAGTTTCAAGCAGTGATGGCATGTTGTAATAATAAATATTTTGGTAATGTTTCAGTTCACTCGATAAAATGTCAACTTTAAACTCATGAGATAAGTTTTACTTGAAGTCATTAGTCATGATCCCTCACAACCAGACCCCAGTGACCAAGGTTTCATGCTCCCCAAATAAACACTAGGGCTTTAAGGAAAAGACTCTAACTTGTTCTACCCATCGGTGACTTCTCTTGGGAATCACAGAAAGAAGCAGTTCTCTCTTCCTACATTTGTCACCTTGATTAACTGGGGCTTTTGTGATAAAAGTGCCATAGTTCATCTCCTGAGAATTTTTTCCTTTTAAGTTAGCCAGTAGGATGAAACCTGTTGTTGTGAAAAGGCAGTTTCCTTCTATGGGTGCTGTTATCATTTCAGCAGTGATGTAGTGAAGGGACCCATATATGAGGAAATAAAAGGGAATGTCCTTTCTGAAGGTAAGTATTTGAATTATACTACCAACTGTCATAGTAATGATAATTCTACAAAAGTGAATTGTCGCTTAAGAAACAAATTTATATTAAAATGTATTTGCATGGTTGATATTGATCATCGATTTGATTTGATTGAGAGATGACAAGATCAGTGAAGCACACTTGTGAGTGTGTCTGGTATGTCTATGAATGAGTTTCCAGAGAAGATTGGCATGTGGAATGACAAACTGAGGGGGTAAACTGGTCCTGAATGTGGGAACATCATCCAACAGGCCGGGGTTCTGATGCACCAAACGTGGAAGAAGGAAGAAGCCTGTTAGCACAGAATCTTCCCTTCTCTGTTTTCTGGCTGCCATAGTTGAGCTTTCCTCCACCAACCCCTTCCATCATGGTGTTCTACCTCACTTTAGACTCATAGCAGTGAAACCAGCTAACCGTGGATCGGAACCTCTGAAACTGATCCAACATAAAACTTTCCTCCTTTAAGTAGACGTTTTCAAATATGTTGTCACAGCAACAGAGTATTTTACCTTTTTATGTTTTACTCTTTTAGCATTATATAGATTGTAATTGAGTATATTCTTTGTACAATAAAATGTAAAACTACAGAAATTTATAAAGTCCTTTTCACTCCTCATCACTAAAGATCCCTGTCCCTTCCCCAGAGATCAGTATTATTACAAATTTACATATCCTCCCAGATTTTTCCATGAATTTATTGTCATGCATACCTCATTCATATTACATATACAAATCATTTTTTGTTAAAAACATAGAGTTATAGAGTACATCTTGCTTTAGAAATTACTCTTTCAACCTAATACGTCTTGCATTGTAGACTAGTATTTTTAAGAGTAGCCAGTATAATTACTTTTACCAAAATCCTCTGGGTTATTAAAACTGAAAATTTATGAACAGCTTCACATTTAGCAAATCAGAATCTCTGAAGTTGGCAACAGTGAATATTTTACTACCTGATGTTAATGCCCATCCAAATTTGAAAACTATGTATCCCTATCTGATTCTTAGTGTTTGGAACACTATTCCATCACATTGATATACCACAAATTACCCAATGATTTGCCTGATTTTGTTATAATATTGTGGGAGTAAGTCTATGTACTTTATTGTATATATGTATTTCATGCCAAGAAACAGAATTACAATGAAGAGTTTTTAATTTAAATAGATACATTATTTGCCAAAATAGCTGTATCAGTTTAGCATATTAAAACCCATTTTCCTCTCCAGTACTATTAGTAGAAGTTTTTTGTTGTTTTTATTTTTTGTTTAACAAAGTTGATAATTGGAAAATAACTCATTTAAAAGATTTTTACATTCCTGATTGAAGCTTATTGTCTTTTCATATTTGATTGCCTATTTGTGATTTGGTAAATTATGTATTTGCATCATTTTTAAATTTTTAGTTGTCAAAAATTTTTTTTTTAGTTCTTGTTAAAGGTGTTAGGCTTCCAGTTTGGTGTTCTATTATTATTGCAATAAAAACTTTCTCACTATGCTTCTACTTTCTTATTGAATTTATTATAGGCATTTGGAGGATTTTGATTATCAGTGGTATTCCCCTACCCGAGTACCATGGCTTTCTCTAACTATTAACAAGTAGAAATTCTTTGGATTTTAGATATAAATCTTATATCTAGATTATTTTCTCATTTCTTATTCATCTGATAGTTTTTCATTTTATTCCAAATTCTCTAGGCATATCAACTATTTTCTATAAATAGCATCTCTTATCACTTTTTATTTTGATTGTTATTTTGCTGTGACTAGAACCTTTAGCAAAGAGGACTCTGCATAGATGGCTTCATTGTATTGCTTAGCTTTAAATACAGCATGGAATAATTGAAT